TTTACTACCTGTCAGCCTCGTGCTGCTTTATGGTAGAAAAAACTGAAGGTGGGGACAAAACAAAACCCCACATTATTGTCTGTTCAAAGTTAGCTGCAACTCTGTTTCTGATGAAAATAGAAAGTTCTGCCAACATTCTTGCTAACTTGTTAGCGCATCATGTTGTTGTGATCACGTGAGCGCTACATGCTGGATCCAAGCACTGCTGGATAGAAACACTGGAGCGGAGTCAGTGAACTGCTGGAACAGACTGCTAACATCGGAGCAYTTATATCGGACGTTTTTTATGCAGGCCGATAAAATCCGATACTCATTTTTTGGCTGATATCGGACCGATATCAATATCGGATCGGGACACCCCTAGTAGTAGCTGAGTCATTTCAAAACAGAAACTCTGATTGTGTTCTCTTACAATACTGCACAAGATTGTGCATAAATTTGATTTCAAAATTTTGACAAACCACCACAACTCTGGTTTTGTTTTAAACTGTCTGGCATAAATAAATACAAAGGGTGACATTGCATCAAGAAACATAGGCCTTTCATTTTAGCTAAAGTAGGATTGGGCAATATTGGCAAAAAAATTAATCACGATTAATTGTGGTATTTAGCCGATAACTATTAATTTGAYGATTAATCCCCTGGAGTCCCTGGACGCCCTTATTTCATAGTAACATGACCAATGTAGTGGGAAATATTTGCTCTTCATAAAACTCTGTTCCAAATTGTGTCAAAATTACAGACTTCAGGTTATCCATCAAATTTTAAATTGTATTGATAGATAAGTTACAGAACTGTTTTTTTAATGTTCGTCATATTTGAAGCRGAGAGGAGCAGCGAGTGGATTCTACCTGTTGGCATTCATCGTATTAATCGTCATGTGCCAAAAATTAATCGATTAATGTTTTTCTGACGATTAATCACACACGATACGATTATGCCCAACCCTAAGCTAAAGTTAGATTTTAGAGAGACTAATTTGATGGTATTAGCCACACGAACCCCGCTACTTRGTATCGGTGAGTACCTAAACTGAAGTACTCGTACTTGTACTCAGTCTTGAAAAAACTGGTATCGGGACACCCCTATTTTCAGGCGGACCAGAGTTCGCTTTTTTGGTCCGAATCGGAGTTCAATTATGTGTTACCAACTCCCCAAATGAACCGGACTTTCCAGGCAAACGAACTAGAGTTTGATTAAATCGGACTAAACRGTGCAGGTGTGAACACRACCTTTTTGTTGAGTCACTGAGACAGTTTGTCACCTTCCTTTTTGCTCTGAGCTCAGTGAGTGGTCACTACCTCCATTCTGCAGCTAAGGAGTGCTGAATGTTAAACCCTGTGCCAGGTTTAACATATTTAATTAAGACTAATTTTATGTAGGACAGAAACTGAAATGTTAGAGTTCCTTTGATTGGTACAGTCTTTGTTTTTTGTTTTTACTTCATTCGGGGAAAGAAACAACTTTTCTGAGTTTTATTTTAGTTCCTCTGTGAAGAACCAAAAATAGTTAATTCTTAAAACAAAAGGCATCATGTGAGCAAATATATCCCCTGTAGTGGAATTAATGATGGTAGATGGGATATTTTTAGCCAATCCTGCTGTCCTATAGTTTGGGGTGCAGTGCCGGGGGGTTGACAGGTGGTGGTGTACCTGCTTTGGCTCCCCTTCAGTCACGGTGAATTGATAAAATGCCAACAAATGTTTTAAATTGTTTCATATAAAATGTAACAGTTTTGTAACTTCTCAGTTCTGTTAGCGCAGTGATCTGTRGCTGTCTTTAGATGTCTGTTGAGGAGCAGTGGTGGGCAGAGAAAAAGGCAAAGAATAAACATTTTTAATTCTGCGTTGTGATTGTTAGACTGAGGTGTTATTTTTAGCCTCACTAGTGATGGAGGCTGCAATAAATTCTATAAAACCCACTTTATTTCACAGACCAGGTGGCGTTTGTCACTTTTTCTTTATTTGAATTTAGGCCGATTTAACCACTAAATAGGAGTTTAGTCTTATTATGAAGTCAGTGTTTTGCTTTGGTGTTTCCTTAGTAGGTTAAAGTGATTGTTTTGCCTCAGGAGACTACAACTCTGCAGGAGAGTGTGATTTTTGGTGACTCACATCCTGGATTGATCCCGTTTGGACCAGGAGGACATTTTGAAATATGCATGTGACCCAGTTTATCCGGATCTAAACCCTCTTTGTCCAGAAAGCAGGAAGTATTTTAAATGAGGAGGCTAAAATTGGTGTTAATTTGCGGGTGGTRACTGTGAAGCTCCATTTTAAGATTTGAATATGAATTTCTGTATTTCAATTTAAAATACAACATTCAGATGTGATAATGAACATTTTTGGGGTTGTAACAAAACAGCTGAAATTTGTAAATAAAAGAAAAGCTTTGATGTTCGATTGCATGCAGGCTGCCGGTGATGCAGCGACTCCTGTGCMGTTTTCTTGTTTCTTCTGAAATGGGAGTTGTGCACACACAGCAGTCTTCTGAAGGAGTAGGATTACTTGTCCTGCTCTTTGTGCTAAACCCTATAACTACATCAATTTATTGTATTCTGCACTAGGGCTGCACCGATTAGTTGAAATAATCGATGACGTCGATTATGTAAATTTGTCGACGCAGATTTTTTTATTATCGATTTGCTGTATTTCATAACCACCACGTGAATGTTCATGCAATTCCATTTCGGTACCTAAATGCATCATTGCGACCGTATTGGTATAAGAGTGGTGAGTTTTCCATGCTTGTCCTGAACGCAGCATCATGCAAGAGCGTAATGACGTCAGCAGCCACTGCTTCATTCAGTCTAAAGCTTGAAAACAACCTTCGCAGCTCCTGCAGTAAAATTTACCGAACAGATCGCCTCTGAATTATCTGGTCGATTAATTATCTTGTGAACACAACGTTTGCT